GAGGGATGATTCTGAAAAAAATTGCTGTTTTTACTGTTTTATTTTGTTTCTTTCAAATGAATTTTTAAGTTAAACCTGAAACTGTTACAATAGCCTACAAAGCTCTCTGCAATCTGTCCTCCTCTCTGTCATTTACCACTCTGACATTTTTTCTTACACCTCTCTCCTCCCTCTGCCAAGTGTAATGCCTGAATGTTTATGCTCTTGCAAAACTTCTATGTTGAAGTTTTAATTCAAAGGTGGTATTATTGGGGGGGTGGGGCTTTTGGGATATGGTTAAGTTATGAGGGCAGCCTTTCTGAGTGAGATTGGTGCTCTTATAGAAAAGACCCTGGAGAGCTCATTCTTCCCTTGCCCTATGTAAGGACACAGAGAAGGCACTGGCTATAAAATAGGGAGCAGGCCCTCACCAGACACTGATATACAATGCCTTCATCTTAGACTTGCCAGCCTCCAGAATTGTGAGAAGTAATTTTCTCCTGGTTGTAAGTCATCCAGTCTATGTTACTTTGCAGCTTGAAAGGACTAAGACACCCAGCTTCAGTATCTAGCATAGCTGGCACACTCCCTCTGTGGGGTCTTTGCACTCACTGTTTACATTTCCAGTGTGGTCCTCATACCTATGTGTCCACTCACCCTCCACTCTTTCAGGTATTGAATTAAGTATCTTCTCAGGGCGGTCTTTCAGGGACACTATCTACATTCCAAACCACTGAATGAAGAAACATTAGACCCTATGCTTTTTCTTACCTACTTTTTATGAAGGGAGGTAGAACAGTAAAGAAAGTCAGAGTTAGGGAAAATATGACCAACTTTAATTTGTCTTTTTCTTTTGGTTCTATAATTTTTTATGAGCATGTATTAACTGCACATAATAATGGGTTTCATTATGTACATATAACATGATATGATATAATATGATACATGATATGTATTATGATATTTTCATATGTACATGTTACTTACTTTGATTACATTCGCCTACTTATTACCAACAATTATCCCTCCTACCCCCTCCTTCTTATCCCCTTTCTTTTCCCAAATAGTTCCCCTTGTACTTTTATGATCTTTTTTTTTTCCTGGATAAGACATATGACAGAAAACATACAATATTTGTCTTTCCGAGTCTGGTTTATTTTGTTTAACATGATGACCTCCAGTTCCATCCATTTTCCTGCAAATAACATGATTTTGTTCTTTACAGCTAAATACTCCATAGTGTCTTATTAGTCTTGAGGGGGACAAACTCCATGTGAAATAAAAGTGGACAGTAGTATTAAAAAAGTAAAATTAGGTTGATTTCTACACTTTCCAACCATCTAACTTGTACCAAAACACTCAACCATCACAAAAAGAGTAAGGTCAGATGTCCTTCTCTTTTCTATATCCTCCATGCTGAGATCTGAACCCTACTCCTCATCTGGACCACTTTATTTTCCTGAGTCTATACAGCATCTTCAGACCTGGTCTTTTGCTGTATTACATAAGCTGTGGACACCAGTTACTATTCTTGCAATACTGATTCCTGAGATCTGCTGCTTCTTACTAAAATTAATGATAACCACATTTGGTGCAGTTTAATTTCTTGTCCTTTTCTTATGTCCATGTAATAAGACTCCTATTTAAGTTGTCATAGTTGTGATTGAGTTGGAAAACCAACAGATAAAATAGTGAATTTGTCCACAAAGAAGCAGAAAGATCTTATTAACATAAGAATTGAAATCATGTACATCCCTTACCTAAAACTCTTCAATTACATCCAAACACAGCTGAAATCCTCCTATAACTATAATGCCAACTCCTTGAGAATACCATCTGTGTCTGTATTTTCATCACTGTGTCTCAGCCTAGTAGGTAATAGTAACTCAGTAATTATTTAAGTATATCATTCATTACCCCACGTTAAAATAAAAATGACTTTCAATTTCAGTGAAATGAATTCCAAATATGTTTTCTCAGCATTCCAAGTTACAGGCTCTTAGTTGCCTTCTCTCATCAACCTATTGTAAACAGTCTACAAAGAACATCATGTAACACACACTGCCCCTGATGTGTTCCTATCTCAACATCTGTCCTCACACCGTTCCCTTTTGCTTGAATGTCTGCAACCTTTCCAATGAAACCCCTCTGCCTATCCAGGGGTTCTTCTACGCATTGAAACTAGTTAGCCTTTGCTCTACTTTACTCCACACTTACTACCTAGGGATCTTTGTTTCTTCATAAAATGACAATAAAAATTTTTGCTACTTCATCTTTTTTTTAAAAATTAAACTTCTTATATATAATGTTTAGGAACCATGATCATTAAAACATACAAAATACTCAACAAATGTTTTTTCTTTAAAATCATAGCAGAATTTGCACTTAGTGAACATTACATTTATTTAGCTATATGCCTTAGAGTTACAAAGAGATTGTAAACTTCCTAAAAATCTAGGCAAATCTTTTATTCTGATCATTTTCCACAGTCTCTTGTGTAAAAAATGTATCTAATTAATATTCGTTGACTTGACTGATTGCATTGATTAAAGAGCACTTTTTCCAAGTGAAGCTTTGTTTTTAAGTATGCTTCTCCCAGAAACAGGAAAACTATAATTAGTTCTTATTGTGCAGAAAATTCATAAACCTGAATTATTATGCAGTTCTTTTTCCTCTACTTGTATATACTGCATATAACGTTTAAAAATAATTAAAAACTCTTTGGAGGTAATCAGGTTCCCTTCATACTCTATCTGGAATATTTTAAACAACATTTGAGTTTTGTGGTTTGATGTTAGTCCTCACTGAAAGCACACATCTGATGGTTTTCACTTAGAACAATGACTGCCAGAAGCCACAGGCTGGCTAATTTAGACTCACCTGTGGTAATGATTAACATCACAACTTGCTGGACTGCAGGCCCAATTCACTCATCAGAATCTCTGGGCAAAGGCCCTGGAAATTGTACTGCTCTCCCGAGGAGATTCTGATGTGTAGCTAGGTGTAAGCCCTCCTTTAGAAAGAAGTTTAGTGGAATCACCATGTAAAAAATAAAGGGTGGTAGACTTTTGCATGAACTGTTATTCTATTATGATATTCTTTAAATTGAGGGAAGTTCTAAGCTTTGGACTGTACTTTTACATAGTTTCCATTTTTTAAGTTGTTAGATCTTCTTATGGAACAAATAAAACAAAAATATATAATTTATAAAAGTAGAAGCTAACAATTACTGAATAAATGTCAATGAAATAAAAAATAATGCATGAATCTATTGAATTTAAGAATTCAATATAGCAGCAGTTTTGAAACATATATCTATTTTATGACTGAGTAGTGTAATCATTTTGTGAATATACCACTTTTTGTTTATCCACTCCCTGGTTGAGGGGCATTTGGAGACTTTCTACTTTTTGACTATTAGGATTATTGCTACATGAATATTCAAATACAAGCCTTTTTGTATGGATCTTTGTTTTCATGTCTCTTGTGTAAATACACAGGAGTGGAATTGTTGGTTCATATGAGAATTAAATGCTTTTAAGGCTTTAGGAAACTGATAAAATATGTTTATGCAAAGTGGCTTCACCATTTTGTGCTCCTACTGGGAATTATGAAAGTACTGGTTTCCTACATTCTTGCTGACATTTGTTATTACAAGCTACAGCATGGTTGGATCTCACATATGTTTTCTGAATAAATGAAGCCAAAGTGCAAAATGTCGTGGATAAAGATGTTCAGAAAAGATAAATTGATAGAAAAGAAAATAAATTAATGTCTGCTTGGGAGTATGAATATAAGTTGACTGCAAATAGTTGTAAAGAGTCTAAATAAAGAAAATGTTTTCAAAAATAGATCATGATAATGGTTTGGGAACTGTCAATTTACAAAAAATTTGTAACTTTTATGATATATTAGTACTAAACTAAAGGGATGTATATGTATACATGTAAATATGTATATTTGTGTGTACGTATACATAATATATATTCAGTTCTAATTTTTCAAAAACTTTATATTCTAATTATCAAAAAGCAAATTTCCCTACTAGTCTAAATACAGAAAATAAATATAAGAGCTCATGCAATATTCACTTGAATAAGCATGAGTATATTTCTAATATTATATACTGCTTAATTGATAGTCTTTTTTTCTAATTTTAACTAATAACACATTGTCTGCACCTATATAATGAATTATGAAATCAAACAGTGTGAACCTCTCAAATTTATTCCTTTTTCACAGTATTTTAACTTTTCTAGTTCCTTTGAATTTTTATCTAAATTTAATAATTAGCTCAACAAATTCTACTAAAATGCTATTTATATTTTTGATTAAGGCGATATTTATACTATATATGAATTAAAGGAGAACGTCCAATATTAACGACATTGTGTCTTGTAAGAAATTAACACAGAATGTTTCTCTATCAAATTTTCCTTTATTTCTCTCTTCAGTATTTTTTAGAGCTCAGCACAAAGATCTTTTTACTAGATTTCTACATATTTTCTAATTTTTTTATGCTACGGTAGAGGGTTTGTTTTTAAATTTCACTTTCTCATTGTCCATTTCTAGTTGATTTTCCATGTTGATATCAGGACAAAGCTAAGCATATAGAATAAGTTAGAACTTGCTTATCCTCCACTTTTCTCCTGAGGAATTTGTGTAGAATTGGTATTACTTTTCCTACAATATTTGGTATTTACTTATCTGAGAAAATATCTGATTGTTGTTTTCCTCTCTCTCTCTCTCTCCCTCTCCCATATTAAATATACTATTTTTCCATTATATTTTGAATTCCAATATTTTGTTTGTGAATTGATACCTTTATCATTATGTAATGCTTTTGTTTATTTCTTAATATTTTTTTAATGCAAAACAGCTTTATTTTCATCCATAACAATGAGAACTACGAAAATGGAAAGGAAAGCAGTCTTCAGGCAGCAGTGGAAATGATGGAGACTCTTAAATAACTGACTTTGGGATCTGCTACAGTAGAAGACTTGCTGTGCTGTCCTCAGAAGCTAAGATTTTTGACTCGATGCTGCAGCAGGCTCTTCAGACAGGCTTTCCTGCTCCATCGGCTCTTCTAATCTCTTTTGACAAGAAAGTTGACTTTTCAGATAATCTGTGTTCCTTTTCTGTTTAAACAGAATCATCTCCACTATGGGTAAGAGCGGAATTTCACCAGTCTGAGAAGCTGAAGTCTTCAGGTCTTCCAACATCTTGGTTAATTCATTTTCAGTCTTCAGAGCAAATGTTAAGGTCTGTACTGCACCTCCCCAGACATCTGTATAAGGTCTCTTAAAAACTGGAAGGCAGATCATACCTTCACGATTTCTTAGATATCTTAGTAATTGCTTTGGTTGCTCCCTCTTCACCTCAGCCTGTTCTTCAAAGAACAGGGCAAATGGAGGCATTCCTGTCTCTTCATTGTAATGGCAGGCCATGGATAAGTAAACATCACTGATATGCATCTGATAAGATGCTACTTGATTAAGAGAAACTCTATATTCTTCAGGAAAGGGGCCTTTGCTAATACTGGAATCCATCTCAGCTTTAGGCAAATCCAGTCATAAGATGTGCCTATTTCTTAACATTTTTTTCTACAGTGTCTAACATTAATAGAGACAAACATGTCTTTCAATTAGTGTTTACATAATTTATCTTTTTTATCCAGCTATGTATCTTTCATGGAAGTTTCTTATAGATAGAATACAGTTGAACTTTGCTCTCTTTATGATTTTATTAGCATATAATAGTTGTACAGAGGAATATGCTGTGATATTTATGTAAGTGCTTACAATATATCTTAGTTGAATTTACCCCCTCTGTCATTCTCCCTCTTCCCCTCTTCTTAGAAAAATTTCAACATGTTTCATTCTTCTATTTTCATAGATGGATACAAAATATATCCATCATATATACCCTCATTTCCACTTTCCTTATGCCCACCCTTTCCCACTGGTACACATCCCTAGAAAAGACTTATTTTTCTCTCCTGCCCTGGAGTTTGCTTTCTTAGCCACTGAGTTATCTTGGGCTTAAATCTTGTGATTTGAAGTCATTTACATTTAATTTAACTAATAATGTAACAGCAAAAATATCTGCCATCTTGCTCATCATTCTTTATTATCCATCTATAACTTGTTCCTTTTTCTTCTTGATTATTCATATTTAAAATTTCAATCTATCTATACCCAGTCCTGACTTCTTATTTGTACATTTAAGAAAATAATGGTGTTCTGAGATCTTTTAACTAGCAAATTTAATTTAAAGAATCTACTTTCCAGTGTCATTATACTGCTTTACATATAATGTAACAATTTTGCAGTGGTGTACTTCTAGTTGTCCCACCAATATCCTTCTATTGATGTCATATAGTTCACTTTTACAAAGGCTATGAACTTACCTATTTCTACTTTTTTATTTATAGTAGTATTTCTCAACTTTGTGTCAATACTGTGGCACAAAAAAAGCATTTTCTTACGTTCTTCCCAGTTGCTCACCAATGAAAATTTAACATCAGATATTGTGTATTTGCTTAGCTACTATTTGTATACAGATATTTATATTTTTAAAAATAAGGGTCCTTCTTTAAAAACATGTTTTCATCACTTAAGAGCACAATCACTCCACTGAGAGTAATGCTTTTAGATCAGTATTTGTCAGTAGTAGTGCTAGTGACATTGCTGTGCTATAGGAGGCTGCATTGTGCATTGTGAGAAGTTCAGTGACACCCCTGGGCTCAAGCCACTATATATCAGCAGCATCCACAACACCTGCTGTGACCACAAATGTCCCCATGCGTTGGTGAATACCCCATGGAGGGCAAAATCACTTCCTGGTTGAAAGTCACTGCTTTAGACAACGTCCCATCACAGTAATGAAAAATAAGGTTAAAACAGGATTTCATATTCACCATAATTTTCACCATTTCTGGAATTCTTCATTTATTGTGTAGATTTAAGTTTCTATCTGGTTTCATATTCCTCAGACCTAAAGATCTTCCTTTGACATTTCTTTCAGTACAGGTTATTGGTAGTTCTTATGGTGCCTTATTTGTCTAAATATTTTGTCCTCAGTTTTCAGCTGAGGACAGAATTCTGAATTGATAGAATTTTCTATTTCTTCTTTTTAAATTCAACATTGTCCTTGGATTTGTATAACTTACGGCAAGCAGTCTGCTGTGATTCTTATGCTGTTCTTTTGTATGTAATGTGCCTTTTTATTCTCTTGTTTTCATCATGGTTTTACATATGTGTGTATGTATATATATATATATATAATGTATAAAATGTATATATATATTTTATATGTATATATCATTACATATCTATCTAATATATATATACATGTTATATATGTATCTTTAATATATTAAAATATGATATTTATGTGTATTAATGTGTCCACATTAATACTGCTCACAAAAAACTAGATCTTTACCTCTAATACAGCAAAGCTTCATTCATAGTTCACTGCCCAATTCCTACTAAAGATATGCTGCCTTTCGACATGTCTCAAATTTGAACTTGGTCACTTCAATTAAGCACATTCACTTTTACCCTGCTTTTACCAATTGCTGTTGTGGAGACAAAACAAAGGACAGAGAAAACTACTCAGCAGATCACACAATGTTTTAAACACAATTGACCATCATGTGGGGCTCACTGAGAACTTCCCATATCCACTGAGATATAAAATGCATGGGAGAATTTAATATTTTTTGTGTTTGAAACACAAATTTGCTTATTTATTTTTGTTTTGTTTTGTTTTTTTTTGAGGCAGGTTCTCATAGCCCAGGCTGTTCTGGAACCTTCTATGTAGCTCATGCCAGACTCAAACTCAAAATCCTCCTGCCTCCACCTCCCAGATGCTGGGATTACAAAGGTACCTCACCATGTTCAGCTAAATTTGCTAATTTAGTAGGTTTTGGTTTCCTCATAGATTTCATAATGTGACCTCACTATATGCAGTAAGATTGGCTAGGGATTTATTTCACTACTATTTACACATATTCAGCATTCTAGTAGATGATTTCTGTTTCCAGTCTGATGGTTTGTAACCTAACTCTTATGAAAGATAACTTGATTATAAAACAGAGGAGGGTATTTCCCCAGCTACAATAGTTAATTTATTTTTCATTTATGTTTAAAGCTCACCATCATGAACCATTATATACACATACCATAACATCACAAACCTAAGTGCAAAAAATATGATATTTAAAGAGTAATATTCATGTCTGAGTGTGTGTATTTGTTATGAGAGAAAGAAAGAAAAGAGAGGGAGAAAGAGAGAGATTCTTTTCTTCTATTATCCATGGCAAGAAACTATAGAAAATTATCATTTGGAATTCTCTGAAATTTACAGATCTGGAGTCAAATTATTTTTACTTCTGTCCTGTTCATATTCTCCTCATTTTCTGGTATTTATAACTATCTATTAAAATATTTGACAATGTCCTATATGTCTTGGATGCTGTGCTTCTTTTTGTCAACATTTTTCTCTTTGTGTTTCAGTTTGCTGATTTGCATTGTCTCTTCTTCAAGCTATTTAGGTAGCTGAGAGAAGTCTACCTATCAACTCCTTAAAGGCATTCTTTGCTTTCTTTAACATGTTATTTTTTTTTTAGAATTAACATTTTATCCCATCTTAAAGTTTCTATCACTGCTGAAATTCAGTATAGAGGAATACTTTTTTTCACATGTGTGAGTATCTCTTTCTTAAAAATCTTTGACAGGTCAATACAGTTAATTTAATTCCCTGGCTGAAAGTCCAAAAACTGGTACATCTTTTTCTCTAGTGGTTTTTTTCAGCAGTGAAATGATTTTACATAATTTTGTGTGCCTCATAATTTTTAAAATTTTTGATTGTACATCAAGTGCAGAATAGAAGCAATGGACACAGATACTATTTGTTATTCCAGAGACTTAGAAACAAACAAAGAAATAATGCTGCTGCTTCACTTTCAACTTTAGGCTGTATCCATTTCTCAGAGGTAGAGTTATTTCTCTCTTCCCTTCTTTTATCTCTAATGAGTCTTTATTCACACTGTAGGACAGCTCTTTGCTACTCTTTCTTAGTGAATAAAGTCTGTTTGCTGAGGCAGAGGGCCCCAGCACTGCTTCATGCCTTTCCCACAGCAGGAGTTACTTGTTTCTCTAGGCTTCTTCCACCAAAGCAAGCTTTCTCAGCTCTTCCCTCCTGTCACCTTTGAGTCCTTGTAACCTTATGGTGAAGGTCTATAATGAAAAACCTGTAATCCTTGTGTATCTGACCATAAGGGATTCTATAATCTCATATAATCCCACATTTTGGTTTTAAAACTTTTAGCTAAATTTTGTTATCCACTTATATGGTGATAGTGTCTCCTTTCCCCAAAATCTATTATAGGTGAACCAATGTTTATAGATCCTTTTCCTCTTAGAGTTCAGTCAAGTTGTTTGCCCTGCAACCTCTTATCTCTGATGGTTTAAAGAAACGTATCCTTTTGTAGATTTTGAGACTTTTCTTGTAGTTAGGATAAAGGCGAAGCTATTTCGGTTTTATTATTATTACAGAGTCTTGCTATATTACACAGGCCCAGCTAGAGTACAGAAATCTATAATCTGTTCTATTTACTTGAGTTCTTAATCAACTTTATTTTATTTTATATTCATTCATTCATTCATTTATTGCTGTGCTGATGATCAAACTCAGGGTTTACACATGCTAAGCAGGTGCTCTACCACTAAGCCACATCCCTAACTCCCAACTTTAAACTTTAAAAGAGATTGAAAATGTGAGTCATAGGATGACTTTAAAGAATAATTTCATTTGATTTTCCAGGTTACTGGAAATATCTTTGTATAGCACTGTTATACTATTTCTGAAATTGAGACCTTCTGTCTCACTCATGACTCAAAACTGAGCTGATTTCTATGCAAGATACTATTTGCTTTTCTAGTCCTTGAGGAAGAAACCTAAGGCACAGGATATTTTGGAAGGCTGTCACCATTGCCAGACCCTGAAAATTAACTGTTTTTTTTCTTACCCAGGTTAAACCATTCACAAATATTGCACTCACTTCTTTGGACTTACAAATTATGCTTTATTTCATATATTTGTCTGGTATTTGTCACTATTTTATTCAGCTTGTTGGTGTTTCAGCGCATTAAGTTAATTTATTTTTAAATTTCAACTTTCCTTATTTTCTTGAGACAAAATCTTGGCTTCACTTAGCTGGTCTTTCATTGATGCCTGTTAAGGGGTTCAGATGACCTAGATTGTATGAATTTGATTCTCAATCTGATTACAGAGTGTTTGTTATCTTGATTTTTCAGATGTTCCTACTTCTACATAGATTAATGGTGAAGGGAAGCAATTTTCCTTGTCAGTTCCATCTATGTAATCTTATTTTTTCTTTTTATTTAATTTATACTGTCATAAGTGGTATGCACAAATTTTCTCCTTATGTTATGTAAGGGCTTTTCTTCTGTCTCTTCTTGTTTAAAAATTCCAAGTCTCCTAGTCAGAAGACTCCCTCAGAACAGGCCTGAAATTTATT